TTCAATTTGGTATATTGGTCCGTGGAAGAAGGTGGCTGCAGGACGGAGTTATGGTGGTCCAAAGTTGGCACCTCCAAGCTGTCAAAATTCGGGTATCTCACTTTGGCTCGATTTTCCGGCCAATTACGACGGGATAAACGCCAGTGGTTGGGTGAGTTGTCAAGATGGCATTGAGGGCTTCAATTTGGTATATATGTTTGTGGCAAAAGGTGGCTGGAGGACAGAGTTATGGCGGTCTAAAGGTGGCACCTCAAAACTATCCAAAATCCTGGTTAGCTCACTTTGGTCCTTTATGTTTGAAGTAAAGGAATAACGGTCCTCCAGTGACCGTTTGTGAAAGTGCATGAAATTTCAGTGACCGTTTCTGCAAGTTTTGAACTTCAGTGCCGTTTTTTTATTTTTGCGTAAGTTCAGCGATCATTTGTGAAATTAACCCTTGTAAAATTTCTCAAAAAGATATTTTAAAGTCTGATAGATAGCCTTTTTCATGAGTATTATTTAAAGCCAAGAAATCAATTTTTTTTTAAACAATTGAAAAATTAAATTTCGTAATTCTACTAAATTTTTAATTGCCTAGAACCACCCAAATTTCTTGGGAGATGGTACCGTCAAAAATAAAAGGGTAAAAAGGATATATAAATAAAATAGAATTTACAGCGTTTTTATTCAATGCAATATGTCCTGAATTGTCTAAATTGATAGAAGAGGAAATTACATAATTTCAGGAGTTTGAAGATTGAAATTTAAAAATCAGGGACCAAGTTTCATTACTCAAAAATTAGATAATATATAAAACCCCTAACCCTAATTTTTCGCTCCCTACTCCCTCCTCTCTCTCTCTCCTCCTCCCCCCTCCCTCCTCTCTCTTCTCTCATTCTCTCTTTCTCCCTCATTTAATAAATCATATCTGATATTGTTGCAGGAAGTGACTTTTAAACATAATCAACGATCTTCCCACAGTATTTGGAGTATAATTCTCTCTACTTTCTCCCTCGTTTAATTTTTTTTTTTTTTTTTGATCTATAAGTATAATTTTTAGTTGATTTAATTTCTTGGACAAGAAAATGAAATAATTAGAACGTGAAATTAATATTATTGTTATCACAAATATGTATCTAAAACAAGAAATTAATCTATGTGCATGTGTTATGAAAGAATGGTAAGTATGAATTAATATGCATTCTTAAATTTAATTTACTTATTTTATCTTTCTTGTAATATTAGATTATAATTTCCTTATAATTTCCTTCATCTTATATGTAATTATTAATCAAGAATTAAGTTCATGTAGGTATTACTAAATTCGAGTGCTTGAATACCTTAATATTATTTTTCTGAACGATTTTTCATGTAATATTTAGAAGGGGATTTTACATGAAATAAAACTTTCGGGATTCAGATAAAATAATTATAGAAAAAAATATTATATCATAAGATATCTTTTAGTTTTTTATCCTCGTTAATATTATGGTCTCGTTTTCTTTTGATTAATTTTTAGTTAAACTACTGGACTTGGGAGAAGAAAATCAATGAAATTTGCTACACAAAATTTTCATTCAAGAAGTTTCTGTATGGAACAAGCTGTGGATCATCCTAACATTGCCAAGGTACTTAAATTTTTTTTTTTTTTGGTCATTTACTTTTTGCCTTTAATTTCTTGATCATAATTTATAAACGAATATGACTTGACTGATAAAGTGGATTGTGCTATCGTTTATTATATTGTCCATTGTTGAGTAACACGGACCATGCACGGGCTCTAGACATGCTTATTCCATATTGTGTCTCATTTATTAGATTTTATCATATATAAGTAACATCCTACTTATGAAGCGAGGTTGTCACTTTTTTGTAATCAATATTCAATTTAAAACAACAATTTGATTAAATTGAGTGCTTGATAGGGTAGTTTAAAAACTTGTTGAGGGGTTGAAGTAAAAGTCAATAATATATGCTAAAAGTTTTATCAAAAACTTTGTCATTCAACCCTAAATAATAAAGCCATCCATAGATTTGTTGGAATAAACTTCATATAAAATCTTAATATATAAACTTTGGTAATAAATCAACACCCTCCAACATTTTTGATCCAAGAACTTGGGATAACCTTGATATAAAATCTAGATATTTGTTATAAATAGTTCTACAACTTTCATTAGAAAAGTATCTTAAAAATATTTTTCTTAGGTACACATAATTTATTGTTGTCGAAATATGGAGATAACTATGATGAAATAGTGAATTCTAACACTCAAATCTTACATTAAGTAGAATCCTAAATTGTCAATTTGTGCAATTTTTCATTATTTTCATTAATTTATAATATTTAGTATCATAATTAAAACCCCTTTTTGATTGTTTTTATTTTATCAAAACCTTCTAAAAATTTTATATACAGCTTTGTCAAATAAACCTTAAATATGCATCTTGTGTTTGCATAATAAAGAGACTTTTATATCTAAAGGGTAAATTATTTTGCACACTCCAAGCTCTTCCACTCCTTCAAATAGAGTATCTTCAAGAGATTTTTTAAATATAAGATACTCTCTATTATTAAAAGTCAACCCTTAAAATTATATTCAAGAGACTCTTTAAATTAACATTTTAATTTAAAGAGTGAGTTTGAAAATCTACTCTATATAATTAAAATGCATTCAAAGCATTTCAATTTTCAATTTGAAAAAATAATGTAATAATTTGAAGGGAAGCTCGTGGAAATAAAAGATAAAGAAAAAATAAATATTTTTTGGAAGTAGTAAAAATAAACGTTAAATTTAAAGAGCTCGTTGGAGTATTTAAAAATTTTTACCCTCTAAATTGTAAAATATGCTCTTTAAAAATAGAGAGACTATTGGAAATACTCTAAATTTTTATTGTTTTTGCTTCATATTTTCATTAATATTTTTTTAAAATTTCAATAGATAAAATATTCAAACTTGATTTAAATCATTCAAAATGTGGAGCATTGAAACTTGCAAGCAAACCATTAAATGTTACATTATAAAATAAAAATAGAGAGTAGATCTGACTTTCAATTGTAGAAAGTCAAAAGTGACTCTATTTTAAAATTGAATTTGAAGAGTCTATTAAAGTCTAAGGGTGTGTTTGATTGCATTTATTTTCCATAAGAAATGTCAGTTTTTCACCTAAATTCATATTTTGAAGTGTTTGATCGCCATTTTTCCCATGAATAATATTTTCCAACTTTTAAAAATTGCCTAATTTTTCTTGTTTTTAAAGAAAATATTTTCTTTGAGCGAGTAGGTTTTATTTTTCTCAAAATAAAGAAAATAGTCAATCAAACAAACTCTTAATTTCAATAATTGACTATTTAAAGTAGAGAACATTTTACATTTAAATAGTCTCATAGAAAATGCTTTGACGTACGAGTTGAAGCACTTAAACGAGAATTGGGGATTTATTTTTTATGGCCTAAAGTGTATTTATTTTGGAAAATAGACAGATATAAAATAGCGAAGAGAATCTTTTCTTAAATTCAAGTGAAACTTTTTGTAGGCAAACTCGTCTAATGAATGAATTGTAAACGATAGCCAAGATTTATGACAGGATATTATTGGAGGAGCACTATCAATTATTTGGGTGCAAAACTTTAAAATTAAAGAGCGCCTCCTGAAACTAAAATGTGTCCAATCACTAAATTTTTCAACTATTAATCAATTTTAATTATCTCTAAATAAATTGCCAAAAAAAATTCTTGCAATGGGATATAATGTTTCCAAAAATGCTACTTTTACATCAAGAATTGTACATAATGAT